GGGGGGGGGGGGGGGGGGGGAGGGACAGCTGCCAACTTCTATCCCACTATCACCCAAGTTCTTCCTTCCCCCTTTGTTTTTTGCAGCACAGAAGAAATATTTAAAAACCCAGCAATCAGTCGGTGTGCAGGAGAAGCAGGAAAAACACCCTAGAAGCAGCTGGGGAGAATGGAAGAGAGGGGTTGCTGGCCTGGCATCATGGTCCCCTTGCTGCTATAGGCAAAAGGAAATTTCCCCAAACAGGCAGATGAGGCAGAAGTTCCTGCCAATGGAAAACTGACCCTTCCCGATGCTGCAACATTGTCTTTGTAGATTTCCTTCTGGAAACTGAATCAATATTAAAAATTAATTGACTCAGTTTTCCAAGTTGCATGCCCCTCTCCCCACAATCTTTCATAGCCCTCCCTTGTAGAAAAGGCCTAGGATATTTCTCTCCCCTTCCTGTTTCTTAACAATCTCTTTCAAACTTCTTTCCTGACTACTGAGGTTCAGGGATCCTAACATCCTCTCTTGCATAAAATAAGTGTATTATGAGTCCTGCTCATATGTTGCCCATAAAAATACAACAGTTTAGGAGGTACCATAACAAAGCTTTCTATCCATGCCTTTTCTAGTTTGCAGTACTACTGTTTTCACTTACTTTAATTGGTAGATTTTATTGCTTATATTACATGTTGTAACCAGTTACTATGGGTAAGCAGACAAGTCAACTAAAGAAATAAAATGTTTGGTGGAAGGTCATCTAGCCCATATATTTAGCCTGCTCCCAAAATTATATCACTGTCTTTATTCTCACTGCTCTTTATTTCCATAAGTTTTGCAGTAGGACACTGTTAACAGGAACATAAAGATAAACATATGGCTCCAACTATAGTGGTTTTACAGACTGATTAATACAGATCATATTGATTAATGTGGGTAACTGTAATGAATCATAGTACATATATCAATTTATATGTAAATATATGTCTTGTATATTTTTGTTTCTTTTTTTCGGCTTCTTTTTTCTTCTTTTATAATTTGGTATATTCTATTTGTTTTTGTATTTAGTTAATTAAAAACCCCTCTCTGATGAAGAAATAAAAATTGTTAGGAAAAAAAAGAAAGAAAAGAAAATATTTGATTCTATTCTGTCCTAGTCAAATCCCACTTGGAATGTTATGTTCAGTTTCAGGCACCACAGTTCAAAAAGGTATTCCAGTAACAAACTGGAATAAGTTCAGAGAAGGGCTATCAAGATGGTGAAGGGCTTGGAAATTAAGCCCTACAAGAAATAGGCTCCAGATATGTTTAGCTTACACAATGACAAACAAGGGGACATATTTATTATTTTATGTATTTATCAAATTTATATGGCCACCCATCTTACACAGTGACTCTGGGCGGCATACAATAAAATATGCTAACAGTCTTTAAATATCTGAAGAGCTGTCACAAAATTAGACTTATTCTCTATCATTCTAGATCAAGTACTAGTGGATTAAAACTACAGGGATTTTCAGGTTAGACATCAGGAGGGAACTTCCAGACTGTATGAGCTTCCAGCCAGAGGAACAGACTGCTGCCTGAAGTGGTGAGGGTTTTTTGCTGGAGTTCTTCAACAGAGGTAGGTCGATCATCTGTCAGAGATGCTGTAGTGGACTAGATCACTTTTAAGGTCACTTCCAAATCCATAATTCTGCTCATGGAGTTTCTTTGCACAATTTGGCAGATTCTAAAATATGCAGAGGTTCTACATTATTGTTCCTGCCCATCTGCTTCAGAATTTATGAAGAACATATTGACAGCAATGGTAGAGATAACTTTAGGGGCAAATGTGTGAATTGGAGTTCATTATTTCCAGCACAGATACCTTGCCAGTATTGCCTTGCCTGCCAACAGTATATCTGTTTTATTCCTGATGCATTTTTTTTAAAAGCTCTTTCCTATTCGGTCACAAACCTACCCACTGTAAACAATATACTTCAACAGATTCCAGCATTATCAACTATAAGAGCTGATGGATTACCATTTATGAGTGTGAATTAAGGAGGATCAGGCAATATACTTTTCTAGAACTTTTGATGGGATTTGTATATTTTATGGAATGCCACGTTGACTATGATTAAGAAGGTATGCAATAGACAGAAGTCAAAGAATTTTGTTAAGGTTAATCACTAGTGGAATATGTTTCTAACACTGGGAAACATTAACCCTGCATAAATAGCCTGAAAAGCAATTAAATTGTAGTTTCCAGCCAGGGAAGAACAATAACATGTGAGGCATTCTCTCTCTCTCTTTCTCTCTCTCTGTAGTTATGCATGTAGTATATGTACAAGAGTTTAATGATAAGGCCTCTATCTACTTAGATTTAGTTTTAATAGGGATATATTAATAAATGAAACAGGAAAATAATACTTTAAATTGGCTCTTTTGGTACTTGTATTTACTTCTCCACATAATCACCATCATTCGCTACACACTTCCTCCAACAATGAACAAGCTTCGTAATGCTGTCACAAAAGAATTCCACACTTTGTCACTTCAACCAGGTTCTGACAGTCCTTTCCACATCTTCATTTGGGTCAAACAGATGCCCAAAAAGATACTCCTTCAATTTTGGGAAAAGGTGGAAAGCACATGGACTGTGGGCCAGATGGGGTAAAGTATTGTGAAGCTCTAACTTCACAATAGCCTCTTGGATGGCTCATCAGATGTTGCGGCATGTTCTTGTACTTCCAAATGCTGCTTAATTGTTGTTTCAAAGTTTCGAGTGTTGCAATGTAGCGCTCTGAGTTGATAGTGGTCCCAGGTTCAAGGAAATTCATGTGAATAACACCAATTGCTTCCCATAAAACTGTAACCATGAGTTTTCCTGCCAAAGCCTAGGTTTCCATTTTTTTTTTCTTGAGGTGAAGCCTTGTGATGATATTTCATGGACTGATGTTTCGTTTCTGGGTCATAATGATGAACCCGTGTTTTGTCAGCTGCCATAATGCTGTGAAGAAATTCCTCACCTTCATTTTCATATCGTAACAACAATTGCTGGCAAATTTCAACTCTCAAAGCTTTCATCTCTGCCACTAGTACAGAGGAATACATCTTGCACAAACCTTCTGATATTGAAGAACAACAATAATGTGACCCACACCTTCCTGTGAAATGCCAGGGTTGACAGCAATTTCCTTTTGAGTGATCTCCCAATTATCCTTAATTACAGGTTGTCTACTTCGTTCTTGATTACACAAATCAGCTTTTTCTGATTCACCATCTTTACATTTTTTTGGCCAGTGAGTACAATACCCAAGTCAACACAATCATCACTATAAACAAACTGCATTTGCTGGTGAATTTCAATTAAGGGGACTCCAGTGACAGTCAAAAGTTGAATCACAGCATGTTACTTAAAGTGCACCAACACAAAGCTGGCCTTAGGCTAAGGCTGGCCTAAGGTGCCAAAGCTTAGGGGGCACTAATGCTGCCCTCCTTCTGAACTGTTCTAAAAATGCAAATCTGTGGATTTGTGGGAGGTGACGCCACCAGTCAATGTGGCCTGGAGCGCCATATACCCTTGAGATGGCACTGCACTCTTCAGTACCCACTTCAGACTTTCATTTCACAAACAATAGCAACACAACTTTTTTTCAGTGCAAATTCCTGCCAACTGAAGTGAAAGAACAGATGCTAAAGAACATGTCAGAGCTTCACCCACAGCAGTACTGACATCTGTTGGCAACTTAGAACATTGGAGGCATTACGTTTTGTTCAACCCTCTTACATGTATGCTGAGAGAGAAATTACAAGATCCTAATTCCTTTTAAAGCTGGCAGACTATGCCACCGACATCTCCCCCTCCCCCCATCTCTCTTTGCCTCTTTCCATGCCTCTTCTGAGACTGTTTCAAGTAACTCCTGGTTGGTGTTGTCCTGACTGGTGAGTGACTAAGCTGTTACAGACAAGATGACTGGTTTTCTTTTCTAGCTTTGCTGCTTTCCCTCTTCCGTATTTTATCACCAAAGGAGGAAACATCCACCGATCGGGACACTACAGCAGGGATGGCAACTGCAAGACTCAGTTGGTCCCTCATCCCTTACATCTCCCACGTTAAAATAATGTGAAATAAAGAAGCATATGGGAAGACACTAGGACAGGAATAGTGCCAGAAGTAGACCTGCTATGATTTTGCAACTAGTTGGGTCCAGTAAAGAAGAACTGAAACTGATCAGTTGCTGGGCAACCCCCCCTCCTACTTCAAGGGGAAGTAGGAGGGAAGTAATTGAAACTGACAAATACAAAGAAAGTAGCAAAGAAGCACAAACACACCTTCTTCTTACCCCATGAAATAGTGAAGATCTGCTTTGCTCTCTTTGATCTTTCTTGGAAAAACCAAGTGCTAAAAGCAAAGTGGCTGGTGGAGAGGTTGGAAAGGAGCTCAAGAAAACACTGTAAGTGCTAATGAAGAGGGAAAGACTGGGAGAGAAGTGGCTAAAGGAGAGGCTGGTTAGTGACCAGAGGGGAGGAGAGGAGGTGTCCACTTTTCCTAACCTTTGCATCACACCTACAGCAGACTGCTGCCTTAGTCTCCAAAGTGGCAAAGTGTATCAGATTTTATACATACTCCTTAAGGTTGTATTAAAAAAATACTCTTTTTCTATCAGTACAATTAATGATGACTCAGCTCCCTCTGGGCTCTTCTTCAGGGCAGCACTAGAATGCTGTTACCCAGGCTGGGAACCAGCAGAATCAATGCTAGCTTAAGTAATTCCTGACCATGGGTGGGGAATACCTCCTTTAGTAACCATAACAGTAGAAGATTTGTGGATTTGCTATAAATCTGCCTGAGTTTTCAAGATTGTGTTTTAATCCTCACTAGGATTAAAGATGCCTTTCTGACATTTGTGTGGTCCTCACTTCTTCCATTTGCCAGCTACATGGGCTTGACAGAGAGACACCCTATCTTGGAATGAACCTGTCAGGCATTAAGGTTAGCAGAAGTCATCTTCAAACAGCCTTGTTTTCTGAAATCCATGTCTTGTGTCACTCCCAAATTATGCAGTGCCAACCTTCAAGAGCTGTGACCAGCCCCCTTTTCAGAAAAGGAATCAAGATCTTCCTTTTCAATCAAGACTTTTGGTTATGTTAATAATTATTTTAACTACATAACAAGATTTTTAAATGTTTATGTTTTGTTTTTTATTCTTAGCCACCTTGCCAAAAGGTGGGAAATAAACCGTAAATATTAAAAAGAGAAAAATACACTCCATGCCACTATATTTTTTTAAGATGAGAACAAACCAGTGCATTGTTAAGAGATGTAAAGAAAGTCAACTGCTGTTACCTGCATATTTAGTAATCAAAGCATTCTGAATGCTCCTCATTCTTTTATTTATTTATTTATTTATTTATTTATTTATGTATTTACTTATTTATCACATTTATATAGCCACCCATCCCGCACAAAGTGACTCTGGGTGGCATACAACAATTATCTTGCAGATTTGCACAGAATGTCTTTACTTTCTCTTTGTTTATAACAAAAGTATTGTGAAACCAAACTTGCATCATTCAGATATAACTCATTAATGAACCTAGATATTTTGATCTTTATTTAAAGTAAGATCTTCTCAGGGGTGCTCAGAGGTGGGAGTCAAAAAAAGTGAAGGCAGTAGCTGCAACCACCTGATCAAAGTGTGCAGGATGCACATTAAGAAAGGATGTCGTCGCAGCCTGCATCTTGACCTTTTTAACCCCCTGTCCTTGCTTTATTTAAAGGCCTGAGTGAAAAGAAATGCCTTCATGTGGCACCAGCAAGACCACAGAGATAATGCCAGGCAAACCTATCCATAAGGGTCACAACTAAAAAATGCACCCCTTGGTAACCTTTCTCCCTCCCTCC